CTTATTCTAGTCACCCAGACAGATTCACTGATTGGTGGCAGGTCCTGAGTAAAGAGAGTCTGAGTGAACGTTGTTACTGGGAAGTGGAGAAGAGAGGAATAGTTTGTGTAGCAGTCACATACAAGAATATCAGCAGAACAGGGAGTGAGTGTAGATTTGGACGTAATGACAAATCTTGGGTGTTAGAGTGTTTCAACAACAGTTATAACTTTTATTAACAACAAAGTCATCACTCCTGTCTCAGGTCCTCGGTCCTCCAGAGTAGGAGTGTACCTGGATCACAGAGCAGGTATTCTGTCCTTCTACAGCATCTCTGAAACCATGACTCTCCTCCACAGAGTCCAGACCACATTCACTCAGCCTCTACATGCTGGACTCTGGTTTGTTTATGTTGGAGACTCTGCTGAGTTGTGTAAACTGAAATAGAGACAGAAATCATTAACGAGACAGATGTTTAACTTGCTGTGTTTTAAATCTTCAACTTGATTTTTATCCACGCTCGTTGCTGAGATCTGATCGTGGTCACCTGTCAGTCAAACTTTATGGGCGGTACTTTGGCCGCTTCTCGTCTGTTCTGTAAATGTTTGAGTGTCTTTAAGTGACACTCCTTCCTGTGTCTGTTTAGCCGTGGACTCTTTCACTGCTCAGGATGACTTTTGTTCACCTGAACTGACATTTCTCTGAGTGATAAATATCAACTTCTCTCCACTCTCCATGTTTGATGATTTGTTTTCATACATTTATATTTTCTGTTGTTTCTGTTCTGATTCAGGAGTCTGAAGAGAGAGAGAGAGCAGCAAACTTTCCTTTTATGCTGATTTTCTCTTCTCACCACTTTGTACATTTGTAGAAAATCTATAAAATCACACTTAAAGAAATGAGTTAGTCAGAATAAATGTTGTTGTTCATATTCAAAGTGATGTAAAATGTCCTCTGAGGTGTTTTAAAAATGTAATCCTCCTGATTAAATCAATAAGGAGATAAATCATTGTTTTCTGTGAGTGGAGATTCTGATCAAACAAAGTGATTGTGTGGATGAAGTGAATGTGTTCATGAAATGATTGAACACACTTTACTGATTTGATGTGTGAACAAACTGAAGTTTTACATCCTGAATAAACTCACATGAACTAAATGTTTTCTTTTGTCTTCATTGCAAACTATGGAAGCCCATTTCCGCCAGTTGAAAAAATCAAAATGAAAACTTGACTTTGTTGAGAATTATTTTTTTGCTCATAATAAGTCGAAAGTATGAGGTTAAAAGTCAAAACATTTAAAGGGGACATATTATGAAAAATCCTCTTCTAGAGTGTTTTTGAACATATATAGAGTCATAGAGCTCAACAGTGAGGAGCTGGAAGTAAAAATCTCCTTCATTTTCTCCAACAGTGGATTTGATTTTTGGCTGTAATATAATAACCATCCAAGGTACACTGACCTCGAGCTACCCCAGTATGAAACAATCTCTTTATAATATCTTTAATATCTCTTTGAAAAAAACTTCACAACCCATGACCCACGAGTGTCACAACGACATCTCTGATTGGCTGAGCTTGCTGTTACCATGGCAATGTCTCCCGCCCCCTCACTCTCAAAAGTGAGAAAAAATGTTTTTTAAAACACAAATGTAGTTCCACATTTGTCCATTGGGGGCAGTATAGACACATGACTAGATTTAAAAAAAAAATAGATACTAAAAAATAGATAATGAAAAATAGATAATAAAAATAGATTTAGAAAATAAAAATAGATACCAAAAAATAGATATTAAAAAATAGATTTAAAAAATAAAAATCGATGCTAAAAAATAGATACCAAAAAATAGATATTAAAAAATCGATTTAAAAAATAAAAAATCGATACTAAAAAATAGATAATAAAAAATAGATATTAAAAAATAGATTTAAAAAATAAAAAATTGATACTAAAAAATAGATTTAGAAAATAAAAAATAGATACTAAAAAATTGATTTAAAAAAATAGATTTAAAATATAGATACTAAAAAATAGATACTAAAAAATAGATTAAAAAAATAGATACTAAAAAATAGATTTAAAAAAAATAGATACTAAAAAATAGATTTAAAAATATAAAATAGATACTAAAATAGATTTAAAAAATATAAAATATATCAGCTATTGACAAAAGTGTATTCTGTAGAATTATAAACATGGCTTCTTTTACAATACACAGAGACCAAACATGTGGGATAGAAGTGGATTTTCTTTTCTTTTAGAAAAAGGTTACATTTTCTTTTACACATTTGTACATGATCTTTTTTTATTTTATTTGTAATCTTATTTTAATGTTTTCAACCCCGACAGTCAGAAAACGTCGACTCGCGATGACATCATCACAAAGAGACAGTGTTGTCACTCTTGAAATGTGCAAAGCGGCTCTACTTCATTTTGGTCCGTTTTGAGTTCTTCTTCGCATTTTAACCACCGAAACTAATAAAAATGTAAGTACTGCAAACACTCAGTGGCCTATTGTGTTCGTTCTGATGTACAACACGTTGTTTTTTCCCACAATAAGCAGGATTTCTGCTCTGTTGTTGCGTTAGCTTCGCAGGCTAAACATGCTCTGAAACAGTGAGGTCATTTGAGTTTCTTCTTCTTTGCAGGGCTGACTACTGGAAGTCACAACCAAGGAAATTCTGTCAGTACTGCAAGTGCTGGATTGCGGATAATAAGCCTGTAAGTCCTGCACAGGATACACTTTACTGTTTAACTCACTCATCAGAAGTTTCTTCATGTGTCTCTGTTTTTGTTTTGCAGAGTGTTGAGTTCCATGAAAGAGGGAAAAACCACAAAGAAAATGTGGCTGCAAAAATCTCTGAGGTATAAGCAATTATTGCAATCACACACACACACACACACACACACACACAGTCATTAAAGAGCACATGACACACACGGGTAAGAGAACTAATTACTCACAAACTTGATATTCTTTGGCACTCATCTCAGGACTGGCAGGAGAGATAAGGTTCTAACACAACACTCATCCCTAAAGCTGCCCTCTTATTGGCTGCCACATGCTGCCAATCATCCTGTCGTTCTCTCTGCAGATTAAAAAGAAGAGCCTCGACAAGGCCAAGCAGGACGAAAAAAATTCCAAACAGTTTGCAGCAATGGAGGAAGCTGCAATGAAGGCGTACCAGGAAGATCTGAAGAGGATGGAAATGGAGGCGGCAGGTAACTTCTCACATTCATGAACACGTTTTTTTTTTCTGCGCGCGACGCTGAGGCTTGACGTGATGCGTTTTTGTGATAGGAGTAAGTCCTCCAGCTCCGACGACAACAGTCCCAAGAAAGCCGCCGCCTCAAGCGAAACCTAAAAAACAACAGAAAAAAGAGAAAGCGAGCAAGATGTTCAGAGAACGGAACCAAGAGCCAGTCTGGGTGGAAGGGCAGTCAGATGATGGACACACGTACTATTACAACTCAGTAACTGGAGGTGGGACTCACCAACACTTCCCTCTACTTTGTGTTTGTCCAACAGACTCTTCCTCTGAAAGCTGATCTTGTCTATGTGTTTACATTTCAGAATCTCGGTGGGAAACACCAGAGGGTTTCCAGGGACATTGTTCCACCTCTGCACAGCCTGCACAGATGAAGGTTAATCATTAATTAAATTCAGAGCTTTCTAGTTATTTCAAACTAAATGTGACGCCTGGTAACAATTGTCTGCTCTTTCTTTAGAGCTCTTCAGCTGGTACTTGGATGGAAGCTTTCAGTCCTGAAGGTTACACATATTACTACAACACAGAAACAGGAGGTCAAATATTTGTTTTTCTTATTTTAATAACAACTACATTTTTTCTCCCCTCTCTTGAATAAACTGTCTGATGATCATGTGCTCTTATCTTCCTCACCACACAGAGTCCAGCTGGGAGAAACCAGGAGACTTTCCTTCCATTGTGCCGCCTGGAACCGAGTCTAACTGGGAGGGAGAGAGACAGAAGGAGCCTTCAACTCCTCAGCCAGAGCCTCCGTCAGGGGAAGAGGAGGAGAAGGAGAGCTCCAACGGGACCTCAACAGCACAGGAGCCTGAGGTCCCGGAACAGACCGGCCAGCAGCAGAGTGTCCCAAAGATCAGCTTCAGGGTAAGAGGAGTTGTCCAAGGAATGAGGGAGTGAAGGATCATTCTTTGACACATTATTGGTTTCATTTTGCTTTTGTTTCCAGAAAAGGCAAGCAGAAGCCGAGTCCTCAGAAAAGGAGGGCGAGGAGGAAAAAGTAAGTGATGACGATGCTGCTAAAAAGGATGCTGAGGAGACTAAGAAAGAGGAAGAGGTCCCGAGCACAACTGCTGAACCTGAGGGGAAGAAAGAGGAAGAGGTGGCACAAAAGGTGACACTAAGGGTGACACCGGCTAAAAGGCCGAAAGCCGCCACTCCATACGGGGTCTGGGAACAGATCCAGGAAGAGAAGGATCCATAGTAAGTCATTTAAGGTTGATCTACTGATTCATTTGCAACAAAGACTGTAAAAAAAAAAAAAAAAGCTCTAACTTTTCCTCCTCTTTCCTCTTAAGTGCCAATGTGGACCTGCAGCTGCCCCAATGGGAGGGAGGCACAGTCAGCGCTCCTTCCGTGCTGCCCCCAGAGCCAAAACCCAAATTCAAGGAACGCATTATCACCTCCCTGGGAGAGGAGGGAGGATCGACTTCCTTCAGGAAAAACAAGACACAAAACGGCAAATCCAGGAGCATCCGACAGAGAGACAATGACGACTGACTGGGACACGTGTCAACCTCCAACCAGAACAAGACTCAAACAAATGTGACTGTTTCAGGAACTCTTGGGACATCTTAATGCAACATTTGTATTTTTACTCAAGAAGCACAAATATCATTCAGTCGTGTAAACAGTTTCTGACATATTGGCCCGAGAAACTTATCAAAGGAGGAATTTCTTATCCTAAAAAATGTCCACCACTCCCCACAATCCATTTCTTTTTCTTTGTCATGGGGAAGGTGTGCAACCCGTTTTACATTCTTATTTCATGTCTACAAAATTGTTTGATCATTTCATGAATTTCTGCCCCCATAGTATGTTAAGGTTAGATTTAAAGAATATATTTTTTATTTTTCATAACTGTATTTTTTTACCATTGGAAGTTGTGAAAATGCGGTGGGGAATCTTTGTGTGAGCATAATTACAATATCTATCAGTTCTAATGTCTTACTTTCATCAAGCAGTTTGGATAGAAGATAATAAAGATTGGTAACGTGATGTCCAGGTTCTAAAATATTTAACTTTGTCAGTGAGGTTATTTCTATTCAACCACAAATAATACACAAATTATCAGGATTGATTTTAGACGTACTCTAAAGCGAAAGAAGTGAAGGCTGTCAATCAGCTGGCACAAACACACACATTCAGGGTGTGACATGTTTTTGGTGAGTGTGTGGATGAAGCTGATAGGTGGGTTCACACCCTAATTGGCAGAAAACCAGCATAATGGTAGGTAACTATTAAAAAACAGCTCCAGAGTGTGTTTACTGTCAACACATCACAGATTAAAAACTGCAATTGCATCCTTTAACAGTGACTCATCCTCATGATTTAAATTTCTAACAAAACAAAAACAAACTGCATGAGTTTAACATTTTATTACCAAAAATAAACATCTCAAATGACATCTGATTGAGCTGCAGTTGGTCTTAAATAGCTTAAAGCATAAATAGCACTACTGTCAAAATAAATAGAACAGCCCAAAAATGAATAATTGCTTTTTTCTGTGCATTTGATAGTCAACTGCCTGCATGTTACTCTGAGGGGTTTCCAGGCCTTTGTGAGTTTAGATTGCTGCTGCTGCAGCTCTCCACCATCTCTATAAGCGCCTCCCTCTCTGCGTGTTCACGGACGTCAGAGATCAGATCATGGAGAGCCTCGCCTCCTCTCATGAACTCCTGAACATGGACCAAAACACATTGAATTAAGAAAAGTGTGGAATAAAAGAACCTGACTAAAAATGCAATTTATTGTCTTTTTTTCCCTGTAAAAGAGATGTTTGCTACTTTAAACATAAATCTAACGTGTTTATGATGCATGCAGATTCTACCTTGATATCTCGAGTGACATATCCAGTCCTGTGGTCTGTGACACGATCCTGGCTGAAGTTGTAGGTGCGAATCCTCTCCGACTGAGAACGAGTGCCCACCTGGAGTCAGAAAACAAAAAGGAGTAAATCGATAAGATTGAATTAAACGTTAAAATGTGATTATCACAAATGTTTCCCTTTGAAGAAGGAAGTTCACTAGCCTGCTGCTTTCTTGCTGTATGCCTCTGCTCCGTCTCTTTACCCATCATGCTCTGGTAGAGCCGAGCCTTCAGCACACGCATGGCCGTGTCTCTGTTCTGCAGCTGAGAGCGAGTCTGCTGGCATTCGGCTGTTACACCTTTTCAATGGAGAGAGACACAACAACTGATGTTTGGATGAATAGAAACAGAACTGATTCTGGGGCAATGCCGCTTGGAGCTGTTCAGTTTTACCAGTGGGAAGATGAACGATGCGCACTGCACTGTCTGTTGTGTTGACACTTTGACCTCCGGCCCCTCGAGATCTGAACGTGTCGATGCGAAGATCCTTTGGGTCAATTTGGATGTCAAACTGTGAACAAAAACCAGCCAGACCAGAAATGAAGACTTTTAATCATGCTTATAAAACACAAAATAAGTTGCAGATTTTACCTCCACGGGCTGAGGCAGGATTATAACAGTCATGGTTCCTGTGTGAATACGCTGCATCCTGGAGGACAGGCCCACCTCAGGGATCCTCTGCACCCTGTGTGTTCCTCCTTCATGCTTTAGATGTCTGTACACATTCTCCCCGGCTATTCTTACTGCTGCATGGTGCAAACCGCCTGAGACAGAGGCACAGTCAAATACATGCAGTTGTAGTTTGAGAAGTGGAAAAAGCTTCCAAAATCTTTACAATGCCATCAGGATGGATCAGTGTTTACACTACAATATATATGATCTATATGTGGGATCAAACACCAATGCTTCTTGTCTGGTTTTCACTTGTATTAAGTACCTTTTCCTGGTGATTTGATTTGACACGATGCATTTAAAACAGTTACAAAAAAGCTCAGGTGGAACTAATAACACTAACAATTGCTCTGTTCTTATTTTATTACAATGCAACACAGAAACTTATGGTGTTATTAGCTACATCCCTCTTTGATTAGTCAAACTATTCCCTGGTCATATGCACACACACGTCATCCATTATCCACAGCTCTGTTTTCAGTGGCAATAAATAAAAATGGAAGTAAATAAAAATGGAAGCTAGAAACAACCATGTTTGAAAAATATTTTCAACACTGGAAACTTACACACACATTATCAGCTAACTCACAATATAAGTCTTGTTCAAAAGTTTTTGAGTGACCAATTTTCACATAAACTCAGAGGATGAAAATACAGAAAATGACTAACCATACTCAGCAGACGTGTAGTTTAAAAGGTCAAAGTGCCAGTTCTTGTAAGAGGCAAAGCCCTCGTACATGTCGAACATTTCACTGGTGAACTGCTGACAGATGTCACCTGAAACATTCAAAAGATTATAAAAAAGTCAAGTCTATAGTGCGGGTCGAGTAAATCTGCCGAGCTGATTTTGTACCTCCTGTTGTTCGTCCTGATACGACCTCCAGCACGACGTCACTGGAGTCAAGAGGGTCGGAGGGCACGAGAGTTTTGATCAACTGGGCGGAGAGAAGACACACTGTTACATAAAACAATTCCACATTTCTAAATATTTGTATTTAAACTTGTGAGGTTATTACGTCTTTTCTTAAGGTTAAAATGTTGCGAGACATAAGAGCTTCCTCCTCTTTTAACAGATGGGTGAGTTGTTGGTCTTCTTCTTTGGTGCCAGCTGAACCTGCAGTCGAGGGGAGAGCATGACACGTGTCAGCAAAATACACAAACATAACCTTCAGTTAAAGAATAACTACATATTTGTTTCTGGTGGCAATACATGGACATTTTTTACAATAACGTGTGTTACTACTCACCTTTTTTTAATTAGAGGTCAAACCAGAGAAAGTTTAAAACATGTAGGCGTTAATAATACAGAAATGCTTAATTTAAAGACATACAGAGGCTTAACAATGACTCACAGACAACCCCGCAACACTATTTGAAATCTCTTAAGTAGATAGATAGATAGATACTTTATTGATCCTGAGGGAAATTCAAAGCATCCAGTAGCAGGTTACAAAGACGTACATGACATGAAACCGACGCCCCCCCCCCCCCCCCCCCCCCCCATACATATATATTAACCTGAATAAAAGATTTAAAGAATACCTCTAGATGAATCAAACTTAAACTGTGCAATTAAAAATAGACTTATACAAGAAATGTATATAACCTGTGCAGGGATAAAAATATATGTGACATTAAAACAAGAACCTAAAAACAGGTGAGGAAAAAAATCTGTAATTAGACCTGAATATAAAAAATAAGAATAGAATAAATAAAAAATTAAATTAAATTAAATTAAATTAAATTAAATTAAATAAATAAAATTAAAAATTAAATTAAATTAAATTAAAATTAAATTAAATTAAATTAAATTAAATAGAAATAAATTTTAAAAAAGTGTTGACCTTCTGAAGTTGTGTTGTTTATATATTTACAGTTTAAAAAGCAGATCGTGCAAAATGATCATAAAACAGACATTAAATAACAGGCAGTGCAAACACTAAATTAAAGGTGCTAAGTACTAAATATGGCTTTACATAAGCTGTGACATGCAGCTCCCAAATACAAGTTATACCTTCTTAATCTCTCCATTGTGTCTGTCATACATAGATACACAAAGAAACGACTCACTATGTAGAAGTGAAAGGACTTCCTGCAGGTCTTTCAGGGCTTCTCCAATGCTCTCAAACACACTTGCAACAGGCAGCAGCTCTGTGTGTTTCTTCATGAGCACTTTTCTGTCTGCTTCACTGAGGTGTGTGTGTTGAAGCTTCCTGCAGACATCTCTGTACTCCTCCATGAGCTGCTGGAGATACCTCTGAACACTCTCAGTCTTGTACAAGTCCCCCACATCCCTGTGACAGAGGCGTTTTTGTGCCACTGTACCCCAGTGTTGCACACTTGTGAGTCCTGTTAGTGTCCTCCATGAACCTCCTCTTCCTCTGTTGGTGTGAAGTACACGGCTGCACGAAGAGCATAGTCTAAACCAGCGATTCAAGAGCATTTGACTTCATTAAGAGAGCAATTTAAACGAGAATGATTACCACACGTTATGTTCAGGTGTTTATGAGTCTGTCTGGTCTGTCTTCCTCTTCTTCTTCTTCTTTTTCTGTGTGTGTTTTTGCCAAATTGCAATCCAGAAAGGTGCATACCGCCACCTATTGTACCGGAGTTTTCAGAAGGGATGCAGGTTTACAATTCAGACTGGATTCATATTTATATACAATAAAATAATTTTAAACGAAAGAGAAGGAAGAAAATTTAATAAATGTTATTTAATTAAATAAATACAGACATACATGAATAAATTAAATAAATAAATAAATAAATAAATGAATAAATAAATACACATGTTTCTATGTCTCATCCATGTCTATATATCTAAATATAATATATATTTATACTGAACATATACATTTTATATCCTTTCAAATAAATCAGTTCTTACTTTAAAAAAATACTGATATAATAAGTAAATGTAGTTTTTGTACATGTTAAATTTGTCAATAAAGAAAAAATATATATATATTTATATACAATAAAATAATTTAAAACGAAAGAGAAGGAAGAAAATGTAATAAATGTTATTTAATTAAATAAATGAATGAATGAATAAATAAATAAATATGTTTCTATGTCTTATCCATGTCTATATAGCTAAATATAATATATATATATATTTATACTGAAAATATACACTTATATCCTTTCAAATAAATCAGTTCTTACTTTACAAAATACTGATACAATACGTAAATGTAGTAACGCTAGCTAGCTTTCGACGTAATTACGTAATGACGTAAACTCGTTTGAATCCTGGACGTTGACGTTCTATCGTTAAGGATTATTGATAGGTCAACAAAAAGTAGTTAAATTATGATTAAAATGTCAAACTTTAGTGCTCATGAAGATGGTAGGTTGAAAATATTTTATTTTAAAACACGCTTATTTACAAATTCATTAGTACAGAAAAATGTTTTAGCCAACAGAATAAATTAAATTGTATAAAAAACGTCAGTCAGTTAGCTCTTTTGCTAATTGGTGTTAATCCCCTATCTGTGTGTCTAAAGCACTAAACAGTATTTGCAATTTTGTGCTCGTATAACAGTTAACTGTATAACTATAATCAACTATGTAAGCCAAATAAACAGAATTTGAATTTAAATGCTGGCAGTAGGCTACTTAAGTTTGTTAATTGTTTGTTAATTGTTGTGTTAATTGTCTTAACATGTCTTATGATACTGTTTTATGAACTGTCCCTCAGAAACAGTAGAGAAACCAGAGTTTTCATTAACCAAGCTGTAGAGGATGTTAGTGTACATGGCTGTGCACAGACTGCAGCCCTGAAGGAGAAACAGAAGACACTCAGCTCTTTGCAGGTTCACTCTAACTCACAATCACACCTTCTGTTTTATTTCTATTGTTTAAATACTGTTTATAATTAATTCTAATGAGTATCCACTGGGACTCTGTGTAACATGAGCGCCCTCTGCTGGTGCCCCTGCAGACTTGAGCGGTGCAGCCCGTGTATCTTTGCCAATCTGCAGGGGCACCAGCAGAGGGCGCTCATGTTACACAGAGTCCCAGTGGATACTCATAAGAATTAATTATAAACAGCATTTAAACAATAGAAATAGTCAAATAAAGACATTCTATGCCAAGTGGAATCATTAACTCTGTTACACTTCTACATGTTTCTGTTCTATTCTAGTTTTATACAATTTGTATGTTCAGTTTATAAAGACGTTTTGTTCATACCACCTTAAAGCAGAGGTAGAATTAAGTTGATAACAGTGGAATAGATGCCCTTAAGTTACATAAAATGGCCTAAACATATAATGTTGATATATGAGATGAGGTTCAACTTTATTGTCATTACACATATACAAGTTTAGAGTAACGAAATGAGGTTTGGCATCTCACCAGAAGTGCAAATAAGCAGAAAGTGCAAGAATCTGTGCTATGTAGAAGTAACTACAGAATTTACAGATGTAGACAAAAAAGTGAATTATTGGGTGTATATGGCTGGATTAATGGGATGCTATAAATATAAATAAATGCTATAAATATAAGTATATTCTTCAGATTATAATATACAGATTAAGGTGCAGTGAGCATGCTGTACTAGATTACAGATAATATAAAGAATATCTTCAACATGATATATATTTTCACTTATACACTTATTTACTTGTGTATTTATTAGTGTCTACCTGCTTATTTATTTGCCTTTGCATCTCAGAAGTGTATAACTGGAGACTAGACACAAATACAAAAAATATTCCTTCTTTTCCAGTCAACCCTTAAAGATGTTGAGATGGAAGAAGAGCTAGTGCAGCAGGATCTGAGAGCCAAAGTGAGGGATACTCTCCTGCTGGAGGGCGAGATAGAGCACCTGGAGCAGGAGATTAAAGTCCTGCATGATCGCTGTGTATCCTTCAGCAAAGAAAACAGCAAACTCCAGACGGGCGTAATAGAGGAGGAGGAGAATGCTCACATTGCACTGGAAATGTCCAGCACTTACAGAAAAAAGATGGAGGGTCACAGGGCGGCTGTTCTGCATGCTACAAGTCAGACAGAGGCCCAAAGAGAGCTGGAGGAGAAGAGCGAGCTGGTCAGGATGCTGACACAGAAGAAAGAGGAGCTGAAGGAAGATTTGGAGAATCCGGATGGAAACACAGTGCAGATGGAGAAGGTAGAGAAGCATATTTGGTGTAATTTGGTCAATATTGTGTTAGACAAATCTCTCCTTTACTCTGCTAATATATCTTTCACTTCTTTATTTGTTAGTTTCCACAGAGATCGGCAGTTTCTGCAATGATTTAACTTTTCACGTTTACTTTTCTACAGCGAGCGATTGATGCCCTGAATGAGGAGATTTCTGAGAGGAGGAAGAGTTTAGAGGAGAAGAGGGAGAAATTGCATCAAGAGTTCGAGCTCCATACGCAGATAAAGAAAGACATAGAGGTACGCCAAATAGAAGTTTTAAACTTATTGAATCATTAAGCCAGACTAACAGTTGTTTGTCATTCATCCATTGACTTTAATATTATTTTCCTTGATCAGATAACTACCCGTTTAGTGTATAACATATCCTGACATATTGGGAAATGTCCAACTAACAGGAGAGAACAAACACATTTTACTAGAGTAACTCAGTTGTCACAATAAAGAAATTCCTTTCAACTTTGTTTTATGGTTTATATAAATACTACACTAATTTTAAAACATTCATTTGTACCTAACAAATTAAAACATAAGCCTGTAAATGTTTTTTGAGTTCCTGTTCAGTCCCCGTAGAATTCTAATTCATGTGTTTTTTCCACTCGGTCAGATCCAGAACAGGCGATATGAAGCCATAGTCAGGCGCCTCCACTGCCAGATGAGCAGAGCCCAAGCAGTTCAGAGGTACAAAAAAATAATGCAAATATAAAACTGAACATTACATCATCTAAAAAATATAATTAAGACAAAATCTGTTGCTTTTATTAGAGTGTTAGGTTGTCACTTTTGATAACACTTGTTTTAAAACAATACTATCTCTGTAATTAATTAATTTTACCGAAAAGTACTGAAAACCTGTCAGACATACTTTAACCCAAAGCTGCTGTGAGTGAAAGAGAGCAAGCAACAGTGGTCCTTTCAAATTCACAGGTCCTGTTGCTGATAAATCATAATGATACACAAGTTACATTCATGTTTCTTACAAACAGACAGAGAGCAGAGGAGTATCAGGGAAGGAGACGCTGTCGAAATTGCACAAGTAAATTGTTGACTTTCAGTACCGAAATGTTGCCAATGAATTTGTGCAATTTAGACCGCAATTTTTGTTAATTAAAACAAGATATTATACAGTACAGGTTGCCTATCTTCTATTTTTCAAAATCTTGTTATTAGTTTGCACAGATGATAAGAAAACATACAGTTGGCATAAGAGTTGACTGTGTTCATCTTTTATAAACCCCATTCCTGCCTTCTCCCGCCCATCCCAGTTAACCCCGTGCCCATCCACGAGTCAGGAATCCTACTCCCACTCCAGAGGTAGCCTGTTTCCACCGTAGCCTACCCAGGAGTCTCATTCACACTCATGCATACTAGGACAAGGAGCAAGATTTAATTTAACCGCCCAATTACAAAATAAGGTTTTTATTTTTTAATTGGGGGGATACGCTGTGCTATCAGAACTGGTGTATTAATATTGATTGACTTTTACTTGTATCATGACAAAGTAACTGCAGTAAATGTACAAGCAGGTTTTTTACTAGGACACCAATAAGGCACCACGACTGACTGTAGTGTTAATCATGTCTATTACTTTTTAAAGCGGCCTCTGTTTGTTGTAACGTAACAGGAGGTTATCAGTGCCATAATATTCACATTTAACTCTACCTAATGCTTTTGTCAGACAACTGTCAGACGATATCTACCACTTGGAGAGACAGCTGGAAGAGCTCAAGAGGCAGCTGGGGTCATCGCAGGACTCAGCGGCCGCTGATCATTAAACTGTAGAGTCATGTTAAGGTAAATGTGTTTTATGAGCTGTAATCTATATCAAGACCAAATGTTGGAATGGGTCTGTAAAAAGTTTAAGGAAGAGTCATTGCAGTACCTACAAGTGATCAACAGGGGGCAGCAGTGTCCAAAGAATGTCCAACTGTATCTGCTTAACTTTCTCACAAATCCCTCACCTAGACAGTGAAGTCGTTTGATATCAATACAAGAGTTGTGGTTGAGAGTTCATCATTAAATTAACACGTTTTGTAAAAATAAAACAGTAGAAGTGGTTCCATAAGTCACTGCTAACACATTATTTGATTATTTCCTGTAATAAGAGGAGGCCATGCAGGAGGGTTTCATCAAAGTCATCAGGGCGTGGGATGGGATTTTAGGTCGGGTGTTGACACTGAAACAGTTTGTCCGGTCAGTGTCCAAAACAGTGACCCCGCACTCAACAAAAGCCAAGTGTCTGCTCTAACTGTCGCAGCGATGTTGTTGTTTTGGTACACGCTGTTCCAGCTGCCGCTTCACTAGGTCGCATGATGGCCTGCGAGGTGACAGTCCCACTGCCGGTTAACAAGGGCGTGACTGTGCTACTTCAGCCATAGCTCAAAACTAATTAAACAGCAAAAACTGCCTTTTCATAAACTCGAATGTACTCAAGCAACTGTATGTGGTAATATCAAGTGCATGCAATATTGTGCTGTTTATATAATAACAACGAAAAGACATCAAATTGTTCAAGCCCCGGAAACACCATGATCACAAATGTAAGCAGAAATTTACGTTTCAATGGTTTGATTTGTTTTGGCTCTACAGAAAATGTAAGACATGAACGTCCACAAACTGAAGCGCTTATTGGACGTGCATTCAGACATTTATGACTTCACATTTACACATAACGAGTACATTTTGTTTGTTTTCTCAAGAACCCTCATTATTTCTCTCCATGACTCAGGATAATAACACTCCTGTTCCTGTCATAACAAGTTAATTTTCAGTCGTTTTCTCGTTAACTCGAGATAACCACAAAAATAGTTCGAGAAAATGACACGTAATTGCAGAAAAATTGATGGATGAATGTAGGGATTCTCACACCCATTTCTTGTTCAGATTTTCTCATTTACTCTACAAAAAAGTTACAATATTGAACAATACACGATCTTCCCTTTGGTGTGATGTTGTTATTTCCATGTAGAATTGAGAATTACATCACACTGAGTTTTTTTCCCATCATCTTGAAAAAGTTAAAGGAGTAGTACGTATGACTCTTGATTTACCACCTGAGCGTCTGTATGAGCGTGTGAGAGCTATAGGACATGTGATGTGTTTCTCTAGAGCTCAGACTGTTTTTGTTTCCCTCTCAACCGCATATTGTAGTTTAGTGGGTCATTTCCTTATAGGTGCGTCAGGGGAGCCCGTTTCAGCCGGCCGTGCTGCAGCACTGCTCTGTTTTGCTGACCTCATTAGCATGCTGTCAGCCTGACTGCCCTCTGCTCTGCACTGTTGACGCTGCTCAGCTCCCAAACTGTCAAATCACACACACACAAATGGAGAGTAACACAAAATCAAGTGTGCAGCAAACTGCCCCAAATATGTTCTTCTAAACGTCAAGATAAACATAGAAAAGTTCTGGGATGCATTTTTCCCTTGAGTTGTATTTCCTCATACTTTTCTGCCAAGTCAGCTGATATTTTTGAGGGATTTCCACTCAGTGAGAATCTCTTGCCTCTCATATTCTCCCAGTCCGAGCTAATTAAGCCGAGCTGACTAGAGAATGAATTCAACACCAGCCGTCCACCACTCGCTTGTTTTATTTATTTGGCTGTGACACGTTTGTCTTCTCCACTTTGGCATCAACCATCTCATCAAAATATACTTGGCTGCAGAAATAAAGAACATACAGAGCGAGTTTATACAAAATTAACCAAAAATGCACGTCATGATTTAGGTTTTTTTTTTCTGAAACAATCAATTTTTAGTCCGGTATTTCATCTGTAAATACATTTTCTTCTAGCTTTTGGTAACTCTTGAGGTTTTGTACTGATGCCAGAGCAAAAAAAAAACAACTTAGCTGTCCTCCCTCTCTCATACACGAAACACCTCTTTGACCTTGTGTTCTCCTCATTTTGCTTTCTGATAAATGAATGCACCAACACAAACGCTCAGTAAGCCCTAACTTCCTCTGGCAGCTCTGCAGAAAAGCTGAGCTTGTTATTTCTCTGTGCAGATTTTCATTTGGAGTAAATGCAGTGCACTGCTTATCAGCTGTGCTGCTGCAACAACCTCAGGTACAGAGAGCAGGTAGTGCAGGTGTGCAAGGAATTTGTGACAATATCTGTTTGGATGGTTGCAGAAAGACTCAACCGTTAATGTCAAGCTATAAATCTTTACCCTGAAGGTATACACACAGTTTGTCACAGACGCAGAGTGGAACATGACAACCTGTAATTTCATATTCTGGTCGTTGCTGCTCTTTGCTGCAATAAACGTTGAGCTACAACTCGTGCAGGTTAAGTTTACGGTTGGATGCTCCTCCTGGCTCGCTGCTCCTCCTGGCTCGCTGCCTGTGTTTGTTGTCTGGAGGCAGAACTAGTTGACCTGCCTGCAAGAGAAATATTTGTGTTCCTGGCTTGAGTCTTGTACATTCCTGATCTCTTACTAATGTAGTAGGTTGAGTATTTTATTGCAGATATTGGCAGAGAGGCCAACATAGCAGTAACGGTGTAGAAAAGAGCTGATGCATTGTGGGTGTTTGTGCATTACCCTTGTTTATGTGATTTAGCATGTGTACGATTAAGCACGTGCTTTCAGGGATGTTATCTCCATCTTTTTGTGTGATTTTAGAACAAGTCAGATCCATTTCATCCGTAACGGTCTGGCCACATTCCAAGAAAATGGTGTATCTGCGTCTGCCGCTTGACACTGACAGCCTCTTAACTTTTACAATAACAAGCTGTGTTGCTGCTCGCTCGCAACGTGTTTCCCAGAAAAGTTCCTCTGAGGACAGTTCCTAAGAAGCAGGTCGTTTTAAACTGAAGCTTCCAGAGAAAAACGCTGGTGGTGAACAATCGTCTCATTTTAATCATCAAAGACATCAAAGTTAATTTAGCCTGGATAACAAATGTCTTCTTAGGACAGTTTAGAGTCCTTTCCCCGTCTGTAGACTGTATGAAACAGAAATAGTCTCAGTGATGTCACCCATTGCTTTCTGAAGAACCATTTTGAGGCATATTGAAAATGCTAGATCGCCCTAACTTTCGATTACTCTAGAAACATACAAAGAGTTTGAGTTAATGAGGCGTTCAAGCCTCCTGGAAGAAGAAGCTACAACCCACTCACCTGTCAGTCAGTCAACTCGGCCACACCCCTAAATATACACAACTCATCATACTTCATGTTTAACTCTTTTAAGTCAGGTGTATTTTTTACATATCTGACCCTGTAAATATTTGTATTTTATTTTGAACAAAAGTAAAATATTACATCAAATTGTGGATCTAAACTGTAGAACCGTTTCCCCTCCTTCACTCCCACCCAGCAGCTGGTGAGGAGGAGGAGTGAGTGGGAACTTCACCTCAACCGGCTGTGTGTGAAAACAATCAGCTGAGCTGTTGAGTTTTCCTTTGTGACATCAGATGTTGAATCACACCCAAGAAAAGGTGGCATGATTATCCTGAGAGCGAAACAGTTGAAATATATGAGAAGAATTTCAGAACACATGATTTGTTATTCTCAGTTTCAGGGGTTAAAAAACAATCTGAGGATTGCTTGAAGAAACCGGCAGGTAATTGTTTTGCTGTGGCCTTAAGAAGCTTAACGCTGGGTAGACCCCCCTCGGGCAACAGCTCGGTCACCTTGAGTGTGGATTGAGCTCCAGAGACCTGAAGGAGTTCATTTTGCTTCTCTTGTTTGTACCATCGGTCATTACCGTCTCCCAGACCGCGTCCCGTCTCTGAAAGCAGTAATCCTGATTTATGAGACAGGTCCGTGTCAGTCACTTCAAGGAGTAAAAAGTGTTTAGTTTGCGCTTGGATAACCAAATTAAAAAGAAGTGAGGATGGGAAATCCCAACACAAGGGAGAGCACAGTGACTCTGCTGGTCTCTAATTGATCCCGTTGGTTCTCGTTAGACTAAACAGCAGCAACACACGCACGCCTGTTTACAGACAGAACCTGCTGACTGTAAACATCCCGCCTGTTACTGCATGCTGCTTTAATCTGCTCAGATATACAATAATAATGATGAGTCACTGATGACTAAATCCTTCCTTTGGTTCTTTCTTCTCAGAGCTTTAGCAGGGTGGGTCCTGAGGGCGTTCTTTTGTTTATTCTCTTTAGGTTGGGCCCTTCTTCTGGCACAGACTATACACAGAAACCAGGTGAAGTTGTTGAGAGTTATTTCAGGGCGTGGTTGGGCATTAATCTGAGGAATGTTTGGATGTGCACAGGCATGAGGCGCTCCACAGTGCCTCATGCCTGTGAGCGTGACTTCGCGTTGGGGAGTGTGAAGATACGAGGCACGCAGAGCATGACGTAGCTGAGAGGTCTCTCCAGAAAATAGCCCGGGCCTGAAATAGATGTAATAAAGGAAACCTTTAACCAACAAACATGCCTGTAACGGAGCCCCACCCGGCTATGTACCTGAGCAACGCAAACAAACACACTCATACACACTTTCTTACACCAGACAGATAACAGTCCAGTTTACATTATGACACGTTCTGTAACTCTTTGTCCATAAAGCAGCTTATATTATATAATACATGTGGGCAGCTTGTATGTGTCGTTAGCTTTTAGAAGCGTGACTGCTTGCCCACACACTGGGACAGGAATTGTGACATAAACTGATTTATTTAGACTCAAATGAATCATGACTACGCTGTAACTCATAATAATATACACATATATTTACAGAATGTGATGTAAAAGGCTCAACTGCCAAATGTACATCTGGAGGCGTGCAGTCAGCAGCTTCACACCCACACAAACCAACAGTGAGTCA